CATCCCTCAAAAATAACACAGGTATAATTGTGTTCATGCTAGAATTTGTAACTTATATTACTTCTGCAAAACAAACAAACAAAAAAGCTAGACTCAAAGTAGTGCCACAGACTGAAAACATTGTTTGAGATGAATTTATATCACAGTGTTAAACAATTTTTGCTATTTACTTTATCTTTATTCCAAAAACTTAAGTATAACTGGCAAAGTCTAGATTGTATGAAACATCAATAAACTACTACAGGATATTGGCCAAATATCAGAAAGATGCACATAGCATGCACTTTTTGAAAACTTGTTTGTGGTTAAGGAGCTATCAGTTCAGTTCAGCAGACATGCATTGACGATTTACATATCCCAGAGCACAAATGAGTTCTGTGGCTGCTGCCACTGTTGCTGCCCTTTGACTCCATTAAACTGGCTGGTCCTTCTCCTATCTCTTGGTTTCTTTCCTCCTGCTCAACCCTTTCTCCCTCCTCTTAGTCCTTAAATATGTGTGTCCCTTATGTTTCTGTCCTTCACCTCCTTCCCTTTTCTCTGAATAGTGTAGAGCAAAATTTAAAAGGATATGCGATAAGCAAGAGCCATATTGTGCCTTGAGTTGTTTAGGCTTAGCATCTCTCAAAGTGTGTGCTAAAGGTCACTAGCAAACCATTTACAGGTGTTCTGCCAAAAACAGGGGAGCAGAAGAGTTCCATGGGAAACACTGGGTATCTTAGTCTGTTCAGGCTGCTGTAACAAAACCTGAGACTGGGTAATTTATAAACAATACAAATTATTGCTTACTCTCTGGAGCCTGGAAGTCCAGGATCAAGGCATGAGCAGTTTGGTATCTGGCAAGGGCCCATTCCTCATGGAAGGCTCCTTCTAGCTGCGTCCTCACATGGTGGTAGGGGCAAACTAGCTCCCTTAGGCCTCTTTTGTAAATGCACTGATCCCTTGTTTTGGGGAGACAAATTCAGACCGTAGCACTGGGTTAAAGGAAGTTAAACAGATCATCATTGCTAGGCTTTGCAAAATCTTTAAAATATTATTGTGCACTGTGGGGAACAGAATGTGTATAGTATTGCCCAAAACTTACTTGATCATGGAATACTTCCCCTGAACAGACACTAATATCTCAAGGGAAATGCTGGCATGGGCCATGAGAGCAAGCAGGAAAGGTGTACTTTTGGGGGGGAAAGTATTTTTTCTTGGGAAATATCATATCTCAGAACTCATGTCAAAATAAGTGGCTCCCAGAGCAAACAGAAACCAGCCATCATGAAGTGTACATCCCCCAAATATTTCCATTTCCAGACATACCTTTTTATTTGGATTGGGAGAGAAGAATCAATAGTTCAGTTAATATTTTTCCTGTTGAAATTTCTACTAAGAAGATCTTTCATGAGGAAAAATTTTTTTAAAAAAAAAGGAAACTTTAAGAGTCAGCTGCTTGTGCATCAGCTACTTCTGGATTTGGTTTAGGGCGTTTGAGAGGACTGTCATTGACTAGTATTCACTGTCACTGTGGCACACTTGACTTTGAAAACTCTTTCATTGTTATTTTTTGTGATATTTAATGGTAGAATTACTCTTTTTTTAATTCTCCATTTTACGAGTTCAGTGTAATCCCTAGTCTTTCTCATCCCACCTTGGTGTTTCTTTCCTCACTTTATTCCTTCTCATCAGAATGCCCTTTCCTTACCTGTGTGCATGTCTAAATTCTGTCTCTCACACCTTGCTTTACAAAGCAGTGATTTCTTCCTTCTCTCCACACCAAAGCACTTTTCTTTTACCTCCCTGCCAGTACATCTAATACCATGCCACACTTGGAAATTAACCTATATTTATCCCCTACTGGTTTGTAAGGGAGGACAGATATTGCGTTTTGGATATCTCTGGGTCTTCTACCTGGCCTTACGTAGTTATTGCACAGAGTAGCTTTCAGTAGATGTTGATTTGATGAAAGAGTCACTGTCCTGTTTACAGTTTTCTCCGTTACTGGTTGTATATGGCTAAGTAATGTGGTATGAAAGCAAAAGTGGCAGAAAGGACTGCCTAATTGACTGATTTTCAGGGCATCCTTTATAAATAAAAAGAAACAGGATAATGTTTATTGAAGCAAGTGTTGAATTCAGGGAGTCTTTCTGCCACCCTAGGAAGTACTAACAGCTGCTATACTTCCTCTAAACAAGGAAAAACATCTTCATATGAGGTCCTTGAGTACCAGTATCCAGCTGCTGTTTCCCTTTTCATTGTTTCCGAAAAGTTCTATAGGCCATCCCTATCTAATCCAAATATTTCTCAGTGCTCTGGTCAAAACTCTGTCCAAGTTTTCTGTATCTCATAATTTTGTAGTTCTCCAAATTGGATGGAATTGTTTATTAAAATTTACATCAGTGCTAAATATAGTAGTAGAATTACTTTCAAATGTTAACATATGCTAGAGGCCCCAAGTTACAAACATCCACCCTTCAGGTGGCCACTACTGCTCTGACCATATCTCAACACCAAAGCCCCCTTTGTCACTAACATAACCACAAAAGGCAATTTATAGCTTATACGAAAATTTATAGATGCAGGTGTGAAAGAAGGAAAGATGATCTGCAAAGGGAAATTGCTTAGGGGAGCTGACCCCAGGAACAACCTACTAGGCCTCAGTGACACCCACTTCCCGCTACCTATATTTCTCTTCCTTGCTGTGTTAGACTACCAGTGATTAAAGGAATATAATCATTTCTTCCTCTCCCAGTTTAATTACTGTGTATTAAGAGAGGGAGCCTACCAGACTGTTGGTTCCCTTTCTAAGATATGCCAGCAGTGTTAATCACTCACCATCTGGCCACGTGAACCAAATGCCCAGAACTTTCAAACGTTCTCTCCTGGGCCGGCCCGGTGGCGCACTGCTACAGTGCACTGTTTGGGAGCGTGGCGGCGCTCCCTCCGAGGGTTCGGATCCCACATACAGACCAGCCGCTCACTGGCTGAGCGAGGTGCAGGCGCAACACCGAGGGTTGCGATCCCGTTGCCAGTCCCAGTCCGGTACGGGCGCGACACTGAGGGTTGCGATCCGTTGCCGGTCACGAAAAAAGACAAAAAGGAAAAAAAAAAATAAAGTTCTCTCCTGCTTTCCTCAAACGAAACCAACCCTCCTCCCCCCATTCTGCTGCCCACCATCACTTTACATGTGCTTATCTGGCCACTCTATTTGACATGCTTTCATCAGACTATATATATACATACCTCTGTTAGCAAAATCACTGCATTGTACAAAATTAATAAATGTTCCTAACCATTATGTACTGGGCTTTGTATTCTCTTAGATACGTCTCAGCTATGAAATGTGTAAGACGTGGCATTGGCCCAGGGACCTTGACTTGTCTTCTCCCCTTAGCCTAAGGAGGGAGCCACAAAATGGAACAATGGACATATCCCCTGTACTTAGCCAGGGAGTTGGGTTGCACTCCACCACTCAGCAGGAAATTCAGTGCTCTTTGCCTGTTCCAGTGATTCGTCTAACTTTTTAGCCATGCAGCCGTTGCTTCAAATTCTTGTCCAGATGAAAAAAGTGCTGTTCAGATAGGGGGTGGGTGAGGACTCTCCCTCCCTACTTGGTCCGTTCACTTCCCTTTGTAGAGATCCACAAAGACCCCTTGGAACACAGTGGAGCTGTTGGTTTATCATGCTGGACATTTCAGGACCTTTTAATGTACTTATTAATTATTATAGTCTTGTTTTCAAAAGGACTCTTTTTGCACCAGAACACGTGACGAAGTGCTTTTAGTAATCTCTAGAAGTTTTGGTTTTTTTCTTCAATCAGTTGGTAGCCACTCTCTCTTTTCAGCAAAGTATTAACATGCATAACCACTATAGTTAACTTCAGTATTCATTAATGAAGCCCAGAACTAATAGTTACATTGTCGTAATTTGACAAAGCCACCTAAATCTATGCATGTTTTTTTTGAAAGCTCCCTAAACATGCTGCTAAATCCCCTAAAAAGCTACTAAACTGCTTTGGCAGCCATTAGCCCAGCATAAGCAGAGGAACTCTTTTCAGTAAGTGAACAAACAGAGAAAATATGCTGAATGGCTGGACAAATGTGTTTCAGCTGGCCCTTTCATTTACCTATATAAGGGCACAGTCAATATCAATCACTGTTTTCCCTGTTGCCCTGAAAATCACAATATCTCTTTTCATCCCACAAGCTCTTTTCACCACAGTAGTGTGTCTTTAGAATGGCACTGGCATCAGCCTGCTTCCGCTGTCTGAAGTCCAGAGAGCTTAAAAACACATTTCATGATTCTTGAGCCTTCTTCCCCTTCCGTTTCCTACCACCTACTCTCTTCCCTCCCTCTGCATCCATTCTACCTACTCCCCAGATTCTTTTCAGTTCTTCCAGCTTTCCTTGCTGAGTAAACAGAATTCACTTCTCTGTTCTAATGCAGCTCTCCAAAGTAAATGTAGACAACCCTATGTGATATTCCCAAGATTTAAGAACTCCTTAAAGATGCACATAAAAAATGCTTTTACATCAAAGGTTGAAAGGTATGTGGAAATTCTGTGCTATGACGAGGTGTACTGACGAGCAGGACTTCACTCTGTATCAGAGTATCTCCTTCCTCTGCCCGCCCTTTATCACTTGGTTGCTGCCTCCCCCCAGCACACATGCACACTCATTCTTTGCCATCCTATATTAAAAGTATGTGCATGCATGTCTGTTCCTTTACCAGTAAGAGCAAATGCTCTTAAGAGCAAGTGCTGGTCTTATACATCTTTTTGTGCTCCTCATTCTGAGTACTTAATACATTATTTTGGAATGAAGGAAAGAACAGAAAGCTCTTTATATAATTAATTACCTTTTATCCTTTTGAAAACTTAACTGGAATAACTTTTGCAGATAAATTTCAGCAATGTGTTATGGTTATAGAAGTTACCACAGATGAATATTTAGAATATTACATTTCTAAAAAAGGTATTGGTTATTTCCTCCTTCCTTTTATTATTTTTTTAATTTCAGATTACAGCTGTATGCAGAGAGGCAGCTCTGCTGGCTCTGGAAGAAGATATGCAAGCCAACTGCATTATGAAAAGACATTTTACTCAAGCATTGAGCACTGTCACGCCTAGAATTCCAGACTCATTGAGACGTTTTTATGAAGAATATCAAGAGAAGAGTGGACTACATACACTCTGAGGAAATATACATATTCATTATTCTAAAAATTCTTTCTAGAGAAAATTTGTTTCTTTTCTAAATTTTGTCTTGAGAATGTTAAAAAAAAATCCTTAATAGGCAGCGTGTCTGAAATACATTCACTGGAATTGAGGGGGGTTAGTTCTAATAGACATTTTGAATCTGTGAGTACAATGAAAATATCTCTGGGCATGAGTTCAAATCAGTTTTATCTGGAAATATGTGCTGAGTTTTAAAAAGCAAGTGTTTAGCTTCTTTGTTTTTGATTTGGTTTATTCATTCTGTGAAATGGTTTTCTTACTCTAGAATCTTTTATTGGCTTTCTAAATTGCAAACCCATGGACATCAATTTTATACAAGAACACAAAAAATGTATATGGATAAATTTGTGGTGAAAAATAGTCACAAATCTTTATTTTTGAAGACCAGACAATGAAGTGGCTAAATGTGCCAGCCAGGCTTATGTGGCCCTGTTTCCAAATATGTATTTGTTTTCATTATTATGTACACCTGCATATTCACTTTAGCCTTCTTAACCTGTACTTGTCGCAAAAAAGAAAAAAAGAATTCAGAGTTATTTCATATAATACGATGCCCTTTGAAAGTTTTAAAAATTGCAAGTATAAACCCAGTTCAAGCCTAGAGCAATAAGCTTGGTTTTTTCATAAAATGTTATAAATAAATCATATGAAGTGTTCGTGTTTTAACTTGTACGTTTTTTCAGGTTACCAGTAAACTTTTCAGTTCAAAGATAAACCAAATTGTACTCTTAATCATATTGCCTTATGTTGCATTCTAAATAAGTATATTTATGCTCCTAGTTATTTATCCTTATGATTTCTTGACACTTTAATAATCCATAAATACCTTCAAAAAGCTTTTGTTAAGTAATTCCCTGACTTCCAAATCAGAAGTCATGGAAATGACTGGTAATGGAAAGAATGTACATTTAAACTTGGTCACCATAGATCTTTGAAAATTTCCAGAAAGACAAGTCAGACAAGAAATACCTGGTATCAAAATAAAGGTCTATACAGTTTTGTGGTAGCAGATACTCTGAGTTCACATCTCAACTATTTCATCCTGTGCCTATGAGAAATGCATTTGCAAGACATTGGTTTACCAGTACATAAAACAACCCAAGAAACGAAGAATATTTGTATTTAGAACTGTGCTGTCAAATATAATAACCAGTAGTTATATGTGGCTATTTAAATTTAAATTAATTCAAATTAAATAATATTAAGAATTTAGTTTGTCAGACATGTTAGCCACATTTCAAATGCTCAGTAGCCACATGTAACAAGTGTCCACCATACTGGACAGAATAGGTTGTGCAACATTTCCATTACTCAGAAAGTTCAATTAGACACTACTGATTTAGAAAATAAGGCTTACACATTGAAATAAATAGAACCTCAAAATTACTTTCGTGCTGTCCTTTTTCCCTTTAGTCATTTATACAGAAAATTAGGAAAAGAGAGGCCTTTAACTTCTTCCCTATTAAGAGCATGGCTTAAGGCACAAGAAAATAGGAGAAAACCTTATCCCCAAGGGTCTAAACAAGAAAATAAAAGAAATTCCATTCCCAATGAAATAAGAACCAGAAGGGTAAGCTTGCACTGACACCGAGGCCCTGGGGCTGAGGGTTGGGTCGTGGGGAGGAGGGTGGCAATCTCAGTCAATAGGAGTTTAGATGTTAATGGCCATTCAAAGCCTTCAGCCCATATGATATAAGAAGTAGCAATGGAGCCTCACACGTAATGCTCAGCTCTTTAATGACAACAATCTCAGTGTAAGGGTAGACTAGAAAACAAATTCTACCACTGGCCAGGGAGGCACAAAGAGCCTCTCTGACTTGGCCTGTGGTTTGGATTAAGAGAGAGAGAGAGAGAGACCCCTCTGAGAATTCCGACAATGAGCTTACCTGCCCATGGCTTCAGGGTTTGAATTCACACGACCTTCAAATTTACAGAACCTCAAAACCTAGAAACTAACATGTAAACCTGGATCCAAGGTAGAAATATCCTTAGGGTGAGTAGCAGTTGCACCAGTTAGAGGAATATATCCTCATCCTGGCTAGAGAGGATTTCAACAGCTAACGCCCTGTTAGCTGGTATTACCAGAGCTTGTAATACCAAAGTATGTGGAGCAGTGGGGCTTCCCTCATACTCTGCAGTGAAGCATAAATTGTTACAACCACTTGGAGAGCGAATAGCATATCTGATAATGTTAAAGACCCTATAATCCAACTGTTCTCTTAGGTGTGTATCCCAGAGCAAGTCTCACATGTGTACAATGAGGTAATAATGAAGGAGAAAGTTCATAGTACCACTATTCAGAAGTAGTAAGAAACTGGAAACAATCTAAATATCCATCAATAAGAGAATGGATTTATATGGAATAGTCATACAATGGAATACAATGGCCAAAAAAAATAATTAGAGCAACATATAAAACAGGGATGAAACTCAAAAAGCTAAGCCAAAAAAAAAGGAACATTTTAGAAGAATACCTATAATATTTAAAATTTAAAGCATGAAAAACAATATATGTTGTTTAGGGAAACATGAAAAAAAAAATAGGAGGAATTTCCTCAGGGAAGAAATTTGTGTATTTCAATTGTATCAGTAGTGTTTCACATCTTAAACTGAAGATGGTTACAGTCAATTATAGTCTACACTTTTTGTATGCCTGAATATTCTTTGATAATTTTTAAAAGTTGGATCTTAAACCAACATCACAATCATGAATCTTTCTGCTCAATTCCATGGACTTTCAATGCAGACCATAGTACCCACAAACCCATGTGTCTGGAACAGGAGGACTGGATACAATGGAATAAAATGTCAGACAGCAAATAAGAGATCAGGCTTTTAGGACCCGGGAAACAAATTGAGAGAAATTTGTTGATGAAAGTTAGTGTGTAGGTGATACCTGTGCTTGTGGTATGGGAGACATTAAAACTGGGAGTAAGTCATCTGTTTCCATGGTACCATGGTTCTGCAAAGGAGCTGGAAGTTAAGAATTTAAAAAGATTTTAGAACACTACATCTTTAGTCTATTATAAGTCAATTATTTAGTATATCTCCAAATAACCAACTGTTACCACTGAAGAGGCATGCAGTTCCTTTATCGGAAGTTTGTACCCTTTTTACAACAGTACCAGTAAAAACCTGAGTCACACAGAAGAGTGGGTTAAATGACATTAATAACAGTTTACCCCAGCTTTATATCCATGAGAGTTTTACTTCTAATTCCAGAGTCTCATGGTTGTAGATTTAAAATAGTGTATGATTCTATTATTTAGGTTTGTTTGTGATGGAATACACAGTATAGTTCATGGAAAACTTAAGTTCAGCAAGGAAAGAAAATAACCAGCTTTCTGTTTTAGGAAGACAATTTGCTTTTTAGCATCTGTTTGGTCAGAAGTTTGCCTTTAGTCCAGATTCTTTTGACATTTCAGAGGTATTCACATGACTTTTCAGTATTCCAGAGATTTTTAACTTGAATAGTATAGTTAATTTTTTCTTCTAGCAACAAGACTTAGAAGAATGGCTTCCAACTTTTGTTTCTTCATGACCAAGAAACTGCCCTAACTTAGATTGAAAAATATTAAGTTCTGTCTTATTTCTAATGTGTAAAGTAAGTTTGAAAAATACAGGGTTTGCATTTTTGAAAAATGACGATTGAATTTATAGATGAACCAAACTTGAGTCTATATTTAGTTTATCTTAGTCAGGAGAAGGCTACAGAAAAGTTGCTGTAAAAGTAGAATAAAATTATTTCCCTGGTCTGTTGTTACTTAAGTTCCTAAATGTGAGGTTATTAGTGTCTTGGCTATTTTGTCATGTTTCCCTGACTCTTTTCTTTAAAGATGAGCACACAGCAAAGAATCCTTTGAAATTATTTATGGATTAAATTAATACTGGTTTCCAAATGTGGTCCACATAGAAATTCTGATGTTCCACATTTATTTGCCTGCCTTCCTTGCATTTTCATTATAATAATTCTGTGCATGGATAGGCTTTTTACCTAATGTCTTTATCAATATACCCCAGTACCCTTTGTCTTTTGTGGCTAACTTTTGGAGAACAGGATTCACTTTAGCAAATTTTGACAGAAAGAGGTATGTTACAGGGTTTTAAATGTCTTACAAAATGATTGGGAAATTTGTAGACTACCCTTTCAAGATTTAGTGATAGGGCCGAGCCTGCGGCGCACTCGGGAGAGTGCGGCACTGGGAGCGCAGCGACGCTCCCGCCACGGGTTCGGATCCTATATAGGAATGGCCGGTGCGCTCACTGGCTGAGCGCAGTGTGGGCGACACCACACCAAGGGTTGCGATCCCCTTACCGGTCACGAAAAAAGACAAAAAAAAAAGATTTAGTGATAAACATTTCTGGAAAGATGGTTAAGTGTCACACTTAACATACCCAAACACAGCAAAACCCAAGGAAATGAAAAGAAAGAAAAATAGAAAAGTAGAATTAATCTATGCTGAAATTAGGGGGCAAATATAACATTCATTACAAATTTCAAAGGCTGTTTCTCAAGTACAACACATTTTGGACCAACTTAGGATCCAGGAAGATCATCTCTTTGCTTGAGAGCATGCGTGATGTGACAGGAAATACCTTATTTACTTGGTTTCAATACACCATCAATTGTTAAACTCACTATTTTACAACTTTTTTTTTTTTGGAAAAAGATAAAGTACTATAAATACTGATATTAATTTTAATATTAATGTTAATATTAATATTAATACATCCTGATTCCAGAAACATGAAAATGTAAACAACATATGAAGGTACTTCAAAAAATTCATAGAAAAGTGAAATTAAAAGGTAATATGAATCTTTCCATGAGCTTTTTGAAGTAACCGTGTACACATCTAAAATCAATTGAATACAGTTTAGTGAGAAGGGAGCTGATACATAATAATATATTCAAACATCTTAAGCCCACAGCAATTAAAATAACTACTTGCACCAACATAGTTATAAATAATGAAAATGTGACCAGTAAATAGGCAAGTTAAAGATGTGGAACACATTATTTCTGAGGAAGGAAAAAAAAACAAAACTTAGAATACAATTGCTTTGAAGTCTCAAAAAAATGTTAAGGAAACATTGGCAATGCGATTCAGAAGCTAAAACAAGATTCAAAGAGAATTAACAGAGCCAAGGAAAGGGATTAAGAAGAAAAATAATACCCTCACTACACTCTTTGATTCAGAAATTCTACTTCAGATTATTTCTTCTACAGATATACTTCCACAAGTACAAAATGGTATATGTAAAGTTTTCATTTCAGTCTTATTATAATAGTAAAATTTTAGAAACAATTCAGTTATCTACCAATAAGGGGCTATTTAAATGAAGTATGGTATATCCATGCCATGGAACATTATGCTGCTGTGAAAAGGGGGGAAGTAAAGCTCTTTATGACCTGATATAGAAATCATCTCTAAGATACAGAGGATCTGAATAATACCTTTAACAAGTATGTTTAACTCTAAACTCTACAAAGAGAATGCACCTCATTTCATGCTCTCATTCATTATCAGTATGTATAATTATATAATAGGGTGCATGCATGCACACACAAATACACTCACATAACCACAATGTACTTGCAGAAGTAGAAATGGTACAGAATGTGCTCTATAATTACCATGCAATAAAACCAAAA